AGAAGCAGACTCCCCACTGAGCAGGGAGCCCAATGCTGGGCTGGATCCCAGGACCCTGAGATCATGACCTAAGGCAGGCACTTAACTGGCTAGCCGCCCAGGTGCCCCTATAATTCTTTATTCATGTGATTGCTCCACGACTGTCTGCCCCACTAGTCTGCAAGCTGCAAGGGCAGGGGCTGTCCTGTTGTGTCCACCCTGGCTTCCTTGGCACTTTACATGGCAATGACATTTGATGAACGAATACATCATTTTATGCAACACAATTTGCTGAGCTCATATGATGAGCCAGGCCTGGTGCTGAGCATTTTGCACTTAATTCATCTCCTCATTAATGCTCATAGCAGCCCCAGGGGATTGGCATTATTAGCTCCATTTTAGAGATGAGGAAACTGAGGTCCCTAACAGGTCAGGAGTCCTGCCCAGGGTCACCTAGTGAGAATACAAACCTAGGTCTGTTGACCTGAAGGCTGGTGCTCTATCCCTCATCCTGGGCATTCCCCCCCTTGAGAATACTAACAACCCCCATCATGCACCTCGAGGAACCAGGACTCTTTGGAAGGAAGGTTTCTTTTCTTTTCTTCTTAAGATTTTATTTATTTGTCAGAGAGCGAGCGAGCACAAGCTGGGGGAGCAGCAGACAGAGGGAGAAACAGGCTCCCCACAGAGAAGGAGCCCTATGTGGGGCTCGATCCCAGGACCCTGGGATCATGACCTGAGCCGAAGGCAGACACTTAACGACTGAGCCACCCAGGCGCCCCTGTTTAGTACACTTTTAAAAAATATTTTATTTTATTTTTATTTTTTAATTTTTTAAAATATTTTATTTTTAAGTAATCTCTACACCCAAGGTGGGGTTCGAACTTACAATCCTGAAATCAAGAGTCTCATGCTCTGTTGACTGAGCCAGAAACTTATTACAAAATCATTATGTTGTCATTGGAGAAAAATCACAAAATTCAGCTTAGTAAAAAAGAAGAAAGTTAAAATAACTCGAAATCCCTTCTCCCAGAGAGAAGTACTAGTAACAGCCTAGCAGAGTGAATTTTAGACATTTTCCTTTAATGTGTTAAGGAGAGCCACTACCTCACACTGAACTCCAGGGGGCGCCCTGTCACTCCCTCCAGGCAAAGTGGAGCTGTGTGCTCTGTGTATTTGCATATACTTTTTAACTTTTTAAAACAAAAAATGGGATCATTCCAAGTATTTCTTTTTTTTTTTTTAAGATTTTATTTATTTATTTTAGAGACAGCACAAGAGGGGGGAGTGGGAGAGGGAGAAGCAGACTCCCTGCTGAGCAGGGAGCCCGATGCGGGACTCGATCCTGGGACTCCAGGATCATGACCTGAGCCGAAGGCAGTCGCTTAACCAACTGAGCCACCCAGGCGCCCCCAAGTATTTCTAGTAAGAAATAACATAATGGATGAAAATAATCTGGCATGTAATAGATGTTCAACACTCCTGCTGGGTTCATTCATAAATATTTATTGAAAACTTTTTTTTTTAAGATTTATTTATTTATTTGAGAGAGAGTGCAAGCAGGGAGGGGCAGAGGAGGAGGGAGAAAGAATCTGAAGCCAACTCTGCGCTGAATGCGGGGCCTGACATGGGGGTTGATCCCAGGACCCTGAGATCATGACCTGAGCCGAAACCGAGAGTTGGATGCTTAACCAATTGAACCACCCAGGTGCCCCCTATTTATTGAAAACTTTTGTGCACTAGATACTGAAGTTATAACAATGAATGCCAGGCAAAAATCCCTGTCCTCATGGAGCTGACATACTAATGGAAAGAGATAGCAATAGATAAGATCAATCATTTGTTAGTTAGAGATAGATATTGAGGAGGGAAAAATGAAGTCTGAAGAGAGGGAGGGTAGGAAGTCTGGTATGTGAATGTGTCTTGTATGATTGTAGCCAGGGAAGGCCTCACTGAGAAGGTGACTTTGAAGTAAAGGCCTGAATAAAGAGAAGAATAGCATGCAGATATCTGGGAAAGAGTGTTTCAGGCAGAGAATGGCAAGTGCAAAGGCCCTGAGGCAGGAGTGTACCTGGGGCATTCTAGGAGCAACAAGGCAGCAAGGATGACTGGTGCACACTGAGTGGAGAGAGCTGTAGGAAATGAGGTCAGACAGGTGTGTCACAAGGTTGGTGAGGATGGCACAGGACATAGGGCCTTACAGGTCATTGTAGGACTGAGGTAATCTTACTTTGCTCTAGCTTTTACTCTGCATTCAAACCTCAAAATGTTCCCCATTGTTCTGAGCCCCACCACCCTGGCCCAACATCCAGGTCAGTGTCCCCATCGCCAGCCCCTGAACCTAAGCCTGACCCAGGCCAGGACAGCCTCAGCCCCCAATCCCACCTCCCCTGGATTTGCCCCGTGGGGCTGCCAGCAATAGGCTCTCCCTTGGGAAACTCGAGAACTGACACCTATGTTCACAGCCCCTCACACTGTTAACCATCTTTCATCACCTTATGGGGCAGGAAGTTTCATCTTTACCTCTGGGGTAAATGTGAGAAGCCATACTGAGTTACCTCTTCCCATAAGAACGAGAGAGACACAGGACAGAAAGAGACTCAGAGTGATGGCAGAACTCAGAGAATGGAAGTTTTGGAGATGGAGATAAAGAGCGAGAAGGTGATTGGGAAGGTGCAGAGAGAGGGACTCATGGGATAACCTGGCAGAACAGCATTCCTGGCAAAGGCCCCAAGACGAGCAAGCCTCATGTGTTGGATGGAGGCCAGTGTGGCTGGTGACAAGTGGGCGAGGGAGAGAGCAGGAGGAGGTGACACCGGAGAGACAATGAAAGGCCAGATGTGCAGAGCCCCTGGACTATGGGATGGCCTTTGGCTTTGGCTCTGGGTAAGATGGGAGCCACGGGACGGTTTAGACCAGAAGGG